GGAGGTGTGTATATTTGCTCAGTATATGATTTACATTCTCTTGACATATCAAAATACAAATCATATCCTCATCAACCTTAACATGGGAGTGATTGATCGTAATAGACAGAACCATTGGAACTTTCAGTAAACTTTGTTTTCATTCATTAAACACACAGTACTAATGTGTTGACTTGAGAGTAGGGGGTTGTAACATATTCAATTAAAAATAATTCTACACTTACAAAAAATATTTTATTAGCTCTGTTAAAGTTTAAGGCAAATGCTGTGGATAGGTTAGTAGATTTTAATATAAGGAACCAATACAGTTGTTACCATGTTTAAAAATATACTACATAGATAAAAAGCTGGCATGTAGCAGCTGTGCTGATAGTAATGCTACAAACAGATTAGTTTTATTGTGCTGATAGTAGTTCCACAGACTTAGATTAGTTTTATTGTGCTTATAGTAGTGATAGAGACAGATTAGTTTTATTATGCTCATAGAAGTGCCACAGACTTAGATTAGTTTTATTGTGCTTATATTAGTGATACAAACGGATTAGTTTTATTGTGCTGATAGTAGTGCCACAGACTTAGATTAGTTTTATTGTGCTTATATTAGTGATACAAACGGATTAGTTTTATTGTGCTGATAGTAGTGCCACAGACTTAGATTAGTTTTATTGTGCTTATATTAGTGATACAGACAGATTAGTTTTATTGTGCTGATAGTAGTGCCACATACTTAGATTAGTTTTATTGTGCTTATAGTAGTGATACAGACAGATTAGTTTTATTGTGCTCATAGAAGTGCTACAGACCTAGATTAGTTTTATTATGCTTATATTAGTGATACAAACAGATTAGTTTTATTGTGCTGACAGTAGTGCCACAGACTTAGATTAGTTTTATTGTGCTTATAGTAGTGATACAGACAGATTAGTTTTATTGTACTGATAGAAGTGCCACAGACTTAGATTAGTTTTATTATGCTGATAGAAGTGCCACAGACTTAGATTAGTTTATTGTGCTTATAGTAGTGATACAGACAGACAGATTAGTTTTATTGTGCTTATAGTAGTGATACAGACAGATTAGTTTTATTGTGCTGATAGAAGTGCTACAGACCTAGATTAATTTTACTCCAAGCAGGTTTTCCTGAGTCCTTCAGTGTAATGAGTTGAGAAAAAGATTAAACTACAGTCAGCTATCACATATGAAAGAGCTCAAGGTTTCTGGGATTACTCTGTAAGCACAGACAACTCATACTTAAAACTAATTTCAAAACATTAGATTTTTATACTCGATGAACATAGTGTAACACATTACAAAAAGTATTAATAATTTTTTAGCATCAGGTTAGGATTCAATAAAAAAAAGATGAACTTTTTCCCTAAATATCCAGGAGAGTAAAAGTCCATTAACCCAGTGCTCAAAATTACCAAATTTTGAGTTTTGGCTGCTATGAAATTCATAGTAGCTTGGGGCTAGTGCTATTCTACTTTGGTAAAATGTGTGTAAAATCCAACTCTGTATTTCAATATTAAAATTTACTAAAATGCTATCTTTTATTTTTTTCTTTCAAATCATTAACGATCTACTATCACTAAAATTTTTGTAAGATATGTAGCTTTATATTGATGATAAGCTAAGCCTGGCATACAAATGTGTGACTCAGTTGTCAACTTATAAATTAAAATGTCTAGTTATTTGGTTGCATATTTCTAATACTTTCTAACCAATGATTATTTTTTTCCATGAATTAGAATAGTTAAGTTTTTTATTGATACGAGGTGAAACAGGTTTATTTGGACCACCCTCTCTGATTTCCTGGGTATGATGGAAAGGGAGGGGTGATCTGAGTTTTGGATCCTGTATGGTTCCTTATCTAGACTGGATGAAATCAGGCAGTGATACCAAACTAATGTTTGACCTTAAATTGCTTAATAGGACAGACACACATGAACCACTAGTTCATAGCTCATTTAAATTGTCTATAAAGTAGATTTATTGTGGTCTTGCGTGAGTCTACTGAAACTGGAATTGTTCTAGTTTGTAGCCATTAATGTATAGATAGTTAATTCTTTTTTTCTTAACACCTGAAGTCAATCCAAAGAACATTGATTATTTTTGCGAAAGGGGGGCCAAAGGCTGCCTGTAGGGGTCATGTGTTTTAACCAATTGCACCACTATACAGTAGTATGTTGTTTGTCAGTCAGTCAGTAGATAATAAAGGATGCTACAAATGGGAATTTGTACTGTTGTGACATGTAAAACATTCACATGCCATGAATCACATGTGAACTTCAAAAGCAAGAAATAAAAATATTACTCTTAATTTTGGTACTATTTGCTCTTGAAACAGAACACTTTCAGGGACCCTGTGTAAGTACAACTGATATGTGTCTGTAAGTGAAAATGGTTCAAGTTATAACTCTAACAACAAGAAAAAATAAAAAGAATGATATGTGTATATTGTCATTAAGTTTATTTTCGACGATTGTATTATACTCAAGGTTTAGTTACTACAAATAGTGTGTATCTACTTGCAATACACTATACTTTAGTTTTTAATACTCTGGAACAAGTCATTGCAATAATGTGTATCTACTTGCAATACACTATACTTTAGTTTTTAACTGTGGAACAAGTCATTGCAATAATGTGTATCTACTTGCAATACACTATACTTTAGTTTTTAATACTGTGGAACAAGTCATTGTAATAATGTGTATCTACTTGCAATACACTATACTTTAGTTTTTAATACTGTGGAACAAGTCATTGCAATAATGTATATCTACTTGCAATACACTATACTTTAGTTTTTAATACTGTAGAACAAGTCATTGTAATAATGTATATCTACTTGCAATACACTATTACTTTAGTTTTTAACTGTGGAACAAGTCATTGTAATAATGTGTATCTACTTGCAATACACTATTTGTTCCACAGTATTAAAAACTAAAGTGTCATTGCAATGAATATACATATGTATATATTTGTAATGTATGATATTTTTGGCATTGTAGAATAAAAAATAGTTGGGATAGTAGGATTTCAGTTTGGGCTAGTACATTTCTTATGTTAACTAGCCTGTGCTAGTACATATAAAATTTACACCTCTGATGTGGGAGCTAGATTAGTTGAGACAGCTAAAACAACTTAATAAGATACTCATCCTGTAATCCATCCAATGTAGTAGACAGTGGTCTGATGGTTGATCAGAATAATCAAAGATTGTTCGTTAATGTCAAACGACCAAGCATTTGATCATGATTTTCCATAGTTTATTATAACAGATGATGATCATATTTTTTGGAGATGCATTTTTTTTTCATATTTCTGTGATACCCTTGTTTCTCAACCTTGTCACAAGAAAAACTGGATGTTTATGTAGTAAATCAATCATAATTAAGACAGGGATTCCCATTGGCTAGCAGTCATCAAATCTAGCCAAGCTGAGCTCTTGTTTGATAATTGAAAGCATAAAGCAATTTTTGGAATTTATTCTGGTTGAAATTAAACCAGGACATAACATTAAAAGACAACAAGAGACCTTTTGGTCCATCTAGGCTGTCCAAGTATAGCCAACTAGCTACTGATGACTAGGGTACAGCTGTATGCAATGACTGGATATTAGGCTTATGCTCCTTATAAAAAAGGAGCTATAAGAACATTGTATCAAAGATCTGTTGAAATTTATGGACAATATAAGCAACATACTCTTTCGTTCACATGGTTGTAGGTTTTAGGCCTCTTCACATCAGAGAAGTACTCAGTATAGTAGGTTGTATTATACCCAAAATTTGTATCTTAGCAAGTTAAGTGTTTATCTCATTGTACACAAGTATTTAGGTCACCCACCTTGATGTATTTATCGGCTTAATTTTTCCCTTATAAGGTAAAACTTAGCATTAACCATTATAAATGGCCATTTTCTTTGTAATAAATATCTTTTCTCTAATATGTTTACAAAAAACAACTCCTTTCCCTCAAGAGTTATTACTGATTTATAAAGGCTACAAAACCAACTTTTATGAAATAATTGATATACAATAAACTGCAAGGCAATCTGAGATTCTCTCCATAATATTGATAGGTTTTATAACTTTTAAGATCACTTACAAAATTAAATTTATCATATTAAGTGCAATATAAAGGAATAAAAATGCCTTCTTTTACAATACTCTTCTGATTATTCCCTGATGATTGTTTTTTAACAACATCAGAATAAAAAAATAGTTTTTCATGATAACTTGTAAACTGCTGGAGGGGAAAGGTGACATTGTTTATTACTTAAATTTTGTGTAGCATCATACAACTGATGATCATGACTTGTTTTTTTTTTCCTCCAGTATGTTGGGGACAGATGTTTTACTGGTGTGAAAAAGAAATACAAATGTGTGTGTGTGTGCGTGTTTCTGTAATTATTGTTAAGGAACAGCTACTTTTAAGATATATATGAAAATTATACACATTGTGTGTGTATATATATAT